TCTGTGAGACAACTATCCGTATGTTGCTGTTTGCTGAGCACTGTGCGTTGTTTGCACACAGCGCGGATGAGTTGCAGCACTTGACTAATGCGCTCGCTTCGACAACGGCAAAACTCGGGCTCACCGTCAACACAAGCAGCACTGTCTCTCTTTTAACCTTCACCGGAGGTGCAATCTTCAATATTGCCGCGAATCTGCATTGGTGCTGAAGTATTGGAAACCATCTCCGGCTTCTGCTACCTTGGGAGTGTGATGTCGACTGATCAGAACCTACACAGTAAGCTGCGTATCCGCGGCGGCATTCGGGAAGCTAGAGTACCGAGTGTGGAACAACCATCAGCTTACCATTGGCACGAAGCCGATGGTGTACAAATCCATAGTGCTGTCCGGCAGTGAAACGTGGACGATTTACCGGCGGGATGTGCGATATCTCGAGCGATTCCATCAGCAGTGTTTGCGACGAATTTAGCGCATCACTTGGGGAGACAGAGTTGCTGACACGGAAGTGCTGGGTCGAAGTTGAATGTATGCAGTGAACTGCATCCTTTTACGGAGACACCTGAGGTGGCTTGGTCATGTGTGGCGTATGAATTTAATGCGGATACCGAAACAAATCTTATATGGTCAGTTGAGTGCTGGGAAGCGGCAAGTGGAGAAACCAAAGTTATGTTACCAGGACATGATCGAAGCGAGCCTCTCACGTTCTAATCTTGATTGCACGTCATGGGAATCAAAGGCGGTTGATCGGCGTGCATGGCGCGATCTAATCACGAAGGCAGTTGTCGAAGTGCGGGAGAAAGACATCATACATGCAGAGAAGAAGCGGCAAGTGCGGAAGCGGTAAGAACCGGTGGGTTGTTCTCCATCGACATCAAGCGCATGGTGCTGTAGCACATGCGGTCGCGAGAGCCTGAGTCAGGCAGGCTTAGTGAGCCATGAACGAGGCCACTCGAGACCACTACCGAAGCGACGACGAGTCCTGTAGATAACGTAGGCAGAACAGGCACAGCGTTTGTAGGTAAGCTGCATTCGATTTACTAACCGCGTGCTTGCATTCTAAGTCCCTTTATTTCGGGTGGTGGATTTTCAAATTTGTCCTAATGCTTTTTCTCAGATGAATGTCTACCTGTGCTCTCTTCTGTAAACTTGCACACGTCGCTTAAGCCAACTGTAGTTAATTTCGATAACATTTTCGCGTTTGTGGCATTTCTGTAAAATATACTTTCTGACATCGTGAACTTATCTCGGATTCGCTTGTAGAAAATTTATTTCATATGCCCATTAATTAAAAAAGTTTGTCACGTTTCCTTATGCATTACTCGATTTATTGCATGTGTTATCTTTCACACAAGTGATTGGCTATTGCTTGATATCACCGGTGTGGCTGCGGTTGATGTGCATGTTGACAAGGTGCCTACCTATCTATTACCCACTACCTCGTCCATTCTGGCTCCAAGAGACAGTTGGTCCTTGCTGGAGGTGACAGAGTGCACGGTCCTTGTGGCTGTGCTAGGCTCGAAGAGTGGTTCCATGCACTCAGTGTAGAGCGGACTACGGCCCAGCCACCGAATTGTGTGCGATTGATTCCCAAATACAGCCTGCCTGTGTTTGCCTGTGAAGGAGTGTGGGCCGGCTCCGTTGACGAAACGTTGCTTCCATCCACATGCCTCCCGGTCTTATTCCTTCGGGTTTACACTGTATATGGGGTGTGTGGATGGAGCTGTGTGTGGTGCAGCGCAAGCCATCCATGGTCCCTCTGTAGGCGCAAGCGTGCTGTGGCTGACCACAGTGACAGGCAAATCCGAAACCGGATGCCGCCAACCATTTAAATATATATATATATATATATATATATATATATATATATATATATATATATATATATATATATATATATATATATATATGGTTGGCGGCATCCGGTTTCGGATATGCTGCACTACTCACTTAGCGGAAAGCTTAGCCACTATGCTTCGAGCGGTAGACTATTGGAAAAGTTTGCCCGAGAAGATAGTCGGGAAAAAAGCAGTGTCGGAAAACAAGAAATACTTAGATGCACAATTTGTAGAATACACATTTTGAGAGCGAACTGCATGTGAATAGGACATCGCAAAGCCGAACTGCGCTGACAGTGCGTGGTAATAATTATCGAGACTGCGTGGGTGCCCAATATTATGTCGATGGAGCAACACAGACGTATGTCCTCAGAATTGTAACAAAGAAACGCCGAGAATAGCTGATTAGCTTACGCCGAAATGACAACGTGGTAATGATGAAACCTGATAAGGGCTGAGGAATGGTTGCTATGGAAATATAAGTTTATGTCAAGAAAATGCAGGTGATTCTCGCAGACACTCGTCGCTTCGACTATGATTCGATGTGTCGCGATAGGACATAACACGTTTGAAAAGTCCACGGTTCGCTAATTGAAAAAGCTAAATAAGATCACGAAATTTGTTGTGAAGATACGGATGATAGTAAGGTTAAATGCACCAACAGTAGTACGTGAAAGCGGATACCCCGAGAAATTTATACCTTGGTAGGCAAACGCGGAAAGCAGTGCAAAACGTTTGACAGACGTCCAGAGGAAAAAGTGTTCATCAAGCCACGAACTAAGGATGAGCTAAAGTGGTGGAAGATTCTGGAATCGCTTCCACTAGATTGCAAATAAGCGCTATCACGCGGCCGAACTGGTGTCACTGTACAAAGTTAGGAAGCAGCCAGTGTACACAGAACCAGGACAAACCGGACACTCAAGTTACTCCTGTTGTGTCTAACGGTTTCATTGTATTTGTGGCACCAAGTACGTTGGCCAAACTGTGGACGCAGTCCACAGTTCAGTGCAGATTCCAGGGAATATGGTCGCAAACGGTTGCAAACTATTAGCTAACTCACTTGATTCCTATTTCGCATTCCGTCATGTTTAGTATTTCGCTTTTTCATTTATCTTATCTTTTGTGGCACAATAGCTGAGGCGTTTCACACCGTTGACCAACCTGTAATGATGTATTATACGTGCCGAAGTCCTCGCGACTCATTCAGAGTAATTAACTAACAGAGCAATGCCCACTTGTTTCAACCCGTCGAAGCTTCCGTGTGATACGGCGGCGGCTAAAACGCGTTGCGCAAACAGGATGAGTGTACCGAAAGCGTTTCCCTGTCTCGATCAGGTAACTGATCGCTTTTCATTAGACTGAATAACACAGCACATTGTTTCGTTGTGCACGCAATGCGACAATTTCACAGAGTGTATGTAAACAGAAGAAGAGAATATCCGAAATAATTGAAATCAGAGTATCCTACTAAAATGCTTCTTGCCACATTGAAATTTGTCAAAACAAATCCCGCATGAAATAGCAGCTACGATCTCAGGACTGCGCGACAAGATGACGACGCTAATACACGAGCGCCCGACTGGCCTCGAGATTTAAGCATTTAACTGGACTGCTGTGCCGAGGATGAAATCTTAATATACAGTACAGCCGCTGCAAAATTATCAGAATCGTCATAGTTGATAAAAGTATGCGAACACTAATAAGCGGTCACTGATCAACCGGATCAAACTCACAGACATTCGAAAAACGGAGATTGACGAAATGGAATGAAAACCAGCCATGACGCAACGCAGAGCCCCTCAAGACACTGAGCATTAAATCAATTTTTTGAGGGGCTACAAAGGCATCTGTATACTTCGTACTTTGTGTATAGGACCAAAGGTTAGTGGTGTTTAAAGCCATCCGATAAGTAAATGAATAACAACATTCTCACGCGTGGAAAATGCCAGGATTGAGAAGTGCGTCGTACTGAGAGGTGGTTTGTGATGATTCGCGTTGCTTTCGCCACACTACAAGGGAGCACACTGGGGCTACTGAGCGCACGTGGAGATTTGCTTAAACAAAAAACTGTCATTTACTGCATTTCGCTCTGACTGTAGGTTGGTGAGCCGCAGCCGCTAAAGTGAGCACGTGCACAAGCCTTTCGTTGGATTAGTGCCAAAGAGACAATGAAAGGCTTGAAGAGCAACGCGTGTGTGAAAAGTGGTTACAAGCTTGGCAAAACTTTTACAGACTTTAATTATTTAGCCAGGCATATGGAGAGGACTGGGTGAGTCGCACCTAGTGCAATGAGTGATTTAAGTGTTTTGAACACGGCAGGATGTCGGTCGGTGACGACCCCAAGCCTGAAAGACCTACATCAACAGATGGTGATCATGTCTATAGTGACTTGGTAATAGGATCCGTGGAAATCATCATTTAATCGTTCGAGAAGTTACTAACGAAATGGGTACCAGCGCAGAATCATGTCATCAAATTCCAGCGCGCTTGAGGGATGCTGTGCACTGTGGGGAAACCAGGATTGGATGTTGTATCATGACAATGCGCCGGCTCACGCATCGCTCCTTGTCCGCAGCTAACTAGCAAAACATCACACTCTCATTGTGCCACATGCAATGTACTCTCCGGACCTAGACGCTGCAGACTTTTCTCTGTTTCCCAAACTTAAAACCACTTTGAAAAGAGGTCCTTCCCAAAACATAGAGGAGATTCAGGACAATGCGACAAGAGACCTGTGCGCCATCACAGAAAGTCTGTTCCAGGAGGCTTTCCAAAAATGGATGAATCGTCGGGAACGGTGTGTTGTCAGCAGAAGGGGCAAATTCGAGGGAGAAATGCTTAAAGTGTTGTGCTAGGAGTAATAAGTAGTATGAAAAAAGTTCGGTTTCTTTTGAACACCCCTCGTATACCTGCCAAATAACCCCATGAACTAGTAAGATAGCTATCGAGGCCCGAAGTACCTAATGGTAGAGAAGAGAATTTAAACCATGACTGAGTGAGGTGGGCCGACGAAGAGGAGGTCAAACAGACCTAGCACATGGTGTTCTTAATGGACCATAAATCCGCGATAATAGCAATGCTCAGTTATGATTTTATCTGAATGAACCAACCCGATTAAATGATATAGTGCGATCAACGACAATAGATAAGGGCTCCAAAACTTACGCATGTGATCCGTAATGAGTGAATCCACATCGACCGTTTGGAGCAACTGCTGCGTGAAAACGTGGAATAGCTGGATGTTGGTGTCATGCCGCATTGCCACCCAAACCCCGTGACCAAACCAAGACATGTACTGCACTTGCTGGCTGCCGCTAGATCGCACTTTAAAACTGTGGGGTGGTAAGGTGAGAAAAGAGAAACATGGAAAAGTACAGCGTGCATGCAAGTGCAACGAACGGATGAAAAATGTGATGGCATACGGATATCTATTCTACAATACAATGGAAAACCACCATGATTCTTATCATATCCCGTACCCAAATTAACAGGAGAATGACACTATAAGTCGGCTCCGTATTAGTGTTTAGTAGATGTGACCAAAATAGCTAAGCAAATTGAAAGCTGGTCATCAGAAAGAGCAACATGTAGCTGGAATTGCGAGGACAATCACTGATTAACAGAAAATGCTACACTGGAGACAGTGAATAGTGCACACACATATGAGACGAAATTTCATTCATTCACTATACCCCGTAGTTAGAGATGAGAAACACCGCAACTATCGTGATGCAAGACATGAGAAAGGAGAAAAACGCAACACAGGCGGGCCAGCTAAGTCACCAGTAATGGATGAACATCGTTTCAGAAAAATAGCAGCAGATTGTGGTGCCGAAATGAAATCGAAGTTGGAGGAGGAGGCTAAGCGGAAAGGAAGGGGGGAATGCACAACACAAACGCCCCCTGAGGTCGGCTCCTAGCTATGTCTGCAAGTGTACCCAGCCAAACGTGTTCATCGTCTTTCGGACTAGAACCAGGGAGCCGGGAGGATCCAACAGAAGCCAACTTGGAACTAAGAGCCTTCATTCTTCTTGCCCATTCATCGCTTGGCTTTCTCTCCCCTTCCTTACACTCACACCCCCGCGCGCAAGCATCGCACGTCGTGGGAGTCGGTGTGCTGGCAAACGCAAGACGTGGCCCAGCCATCGGAGCCTGGTGCGTGTAATAACGGTGGTGAGCGGTTCATTTCCTTTTCCTGTGCCGTAAACAAGTCGTCGAACACGCTCGTTGCTCACTCAGTGTTCCCACCAGATGTGAGCCAAATTGCGAAGGCACCGGTGGTCGAACGTAACTAGTTTCTTTAAGTCTGCCGATCTAAACGTCAAGTTTTCACAACCGTGCAGAAGGGTCGAACGTAGGACCGCATTGTACACTCTATCCTTCAGGGCGGGAGTGATGGCGCGACGGCACCATAGGTGGCGAAGGTTAGCAAAAGCGCCCCGAGCATTTGCCATACGGCTCGCGACTTGATCTTCGATTCCACCGAAGCTGATACAACTGCCTAGGCAGTTGAACTTTGAAGGACTTGTAGCTGATCCACACTAAAGATCAGAGCAAGAGGCAGTCCTTGGCAATTTCGGAGGAAATTCGTGCACTTGGAAGATGCGAAGCAAAGATCGAAATGGCAGACAGCCAGTGCTATTCTGCTTAGTGGTGCTTGGTAAATTTGTGAGCTGTCGCAAATGAGGGCAAGGCCGTCAGCACACTGCAAGTCAAAAAGTCGTTCACCTGGAATAGCTTCACACCTTCTGGGCCGTGTTCAGTGAACGCGACTTCCATGATTTCGTCAATAGCTAAGTTCGAGAGGAAATATGACAGCTGGCATCACTGTCGCACATCGCTGGAGATATTGAAGGGTTGCGACTCATTGACATAACCCCCTTTGTGCGAGCTATGTGCGTAAAGTACTCGGAAAAGGTTTACATATTTCTCGGGCATACATTTCGTCAGCAGACAGTTCCAAAGAACGCATCGATTTACCGAATCAAAGGCACCTATGATGTCGATGAACACGACAACGATAGGCGACCGATATATCCAATGGGCCCCCAACACTTGAAGTTATCTGAATATGTGATCGATGCGGCCTGGATTCCAACGAAACCCGGCATGCGCCTTTGGCTTTCACGTGTGCCGGTCAATCTGTGGAGCATGACAAGCAAGTAATTTGGAGGCGATAGAAATTAGGCTGATTCCTCCATAATTGCCGGATTTAGATCGTGAGCCTCCCTTGAAAATTGGGACTATGACGGAGCAGTTCCAGTCGGTTAAGAGAGTTTTCTGCCCTCCCGTGTTCACTAATAACTCGTGTAAATCATACACAAGGGTAGATGGCCCGAATTTGTAAAGGGCTGGAGGAAGAACGTCTAACTCCGCGGCTTTATTCAACATCAGGAGTTCTTGAGGGCGGATAAAAGGAACAGCCCATGGAGCAGGGCGATCAATAGCTGGTGAGAAATCTAAGAATATACTAAAATCTAAGGAATCACGGAAGACTAAAATGCTCAGCCCAACGTTCCAAGCGTTTGGACAAGTTTTGGATAGGCTGTCCACTCCCATCACATATAGTTCTCTTGCTACCCGTTTTCGGTACAAAGAGCAGCGGCCATTCCAATCTCCGACGGACGATGAGACCACCAGGATTAGCGGTCTCTCTTCAGTCTAGCACGAAGTCTTGCCATGAGGTCTTATTGAGTCCCGTTGTGTTCGCTTCCAGTCGGAATGTGTCATCGAGCATCGCTAAGTTCCAGAGACTGCGAAAAGACCCAATGTCCATGTTGGCGATTGGATTTATCACATGAGCAGTTGCTTGTTGTTAATAAGATTTGATGAACATGCGACCACCGACCTTCACCTTCAACAGTATGCAGTGAGCATTTACTCAACTCGAACGCCAACACACTTCGATGCACATTAAGAACATCTGGCTTGGCAAGTTGGCCGGTGTCCATGCGCCCACAGGGTCGTCGCGGGCATCCCCCAAAACATAACCGAAGATAAACATATACAAGTGCATAGTCAGTGTCCACACATGCGCGCCCAATCGAGCGACAGTTTTGGACGCAGTCTCTTCAGCGGTAACTGATGGCGAGTTGCGTTTAGGGCTGGTGGGCGCTATGTCACCCTCCGACGGGCGATGTGTCGAAACTTAGTGCTCGCAAGAAGTAAGCGGGCATCTTCACACAAACGAACTAAACACTCACCATTATCATTACGGGAGCGTACATCGAGTTGGCCGCTCAGATGTAGCTCCAGTGGACAATTTTCCAATTTGAGGGTTCAGATCCTCCACTAGCGCTACAGCATGTGCTACTTCTGTGATGAAGGAGCCCGTTCAGTTAGCGACAGAAGTCGCCTTTCACCGAAACAGTGCTACAGTCTGTGATCACGTAGGCAGTGATGACAAACAGGCACCTATTAGTCCCGCGCGACTTCGAAACTTTGAATGGGCTACTGGGTGAAATCCAATAAACCGGAGCAGTTTCAGCCCAGGGACTCAGGGCAATACCTAAACCGGCTTGGCGTGCACTCGAAGCTGTATAATCTCCGGATAAACGCAGTGTGAAATCACTGCTAGCGTTATCTGAATGACATCACGGAGTGAGCACTGAACTCGAGTGTTGCAGGCGGGTGTCCGATAAGCAGCAGATCGAGAGAGTAGCTAATGTTCGCGTAACTGCTGCTTGTTGACCGACCTGTAACTATGTGCGTACGTGGAGACATGCCAATGTGAAGGAGGATCGAAGGCTTCAGACAGCCGATGAACTAAGATTGGCCGCTTGGTTGGACATGGGCTTGTCGACAGGGAAGGAGTGATGCTCCGCATTCGAGTGAGTTGAAACTAGAAAATAAACCCCTATCAAAGCAAGGTCAGGGAGAGCCAAGAACTGGGAGGGGGATAAAAGTTAAGCTGGAACTGAAGGATAAAAGTGAAAAAGCGTAAGAGGGAAAAGAAGATGGAAAAGCTTGATAAGCAGCATCCAAACACCTATCTACCCAGATCGATGCGGCAGATAGGGCGCCGTTGATTAGCCTCTACGACGGGCTGAACATCAAGAAATGGTGTGGACAGAAGTTCATAGAGCCGTAGGGCGCGGGCAGGATACTGTCAGGTTGCCCAGGCCAGAACGATTAGGGTTCATAACCAGAGCCTTTGATCCAAAAAACCTGACCGCAAGGCAGCAAGTTCGGCAATGGGTTACAAAGAGTCCGCTTTGAGGAATAAGGGACCAACTTTACCCAAACCCCCAACCTGGAGGACCAAGAAGCGGAGTTTATCTGACCTCTAACCATTAACCAATCTGACATGAGTGCCTGGGAAGAAAGACCACACAACACCACGCTGACGCAGGCAAACCATCGTACGACGGTAAGATCCAGCCTTACCACGATGGTTAAGCTCAAAAATTACTCGGACAACGGTTCGAAAACAAGCAGAATAAGCACTCAGCGCCTTTTTTCTTTTTTGGTTGCGATCTGGCCGCAAACAGATATGAACGAAAGATCAGTAAAAGAGGTGAAAAACCAAAAATGACTATGAGGTGCGGTCTGGTACCAAGATGTAGCCGGTGGGTGACCAGGCTAGATAGGAGCAACAGAACTGATGCTGGTCAGGAGCACACGATAATTGCATAAAGGGCAGTCAACGGGAAGAAGGATGCTCCATTAGCGGTAGTTAAGTCATCGAAGGAGTTAGTGACCGAATTGATGATTAAAAGCTATGATTAGAAGTATAGGTGGGAGGCAATAACGTCTACGAATAGGGATAGATTGTGGAAGGCTGCGGGTGGGCTAAGGTATGACCATTGAGAGTCTAGGGTATGGAGAGATGTTTCACTATAGACGTGCGTGGAAAGAATTTAAGCACCAGTCGAACAATGTGTGGGTTACATTGATACAAGTTGGTAGTAAAACCCGTAGCCTTCCACATAATGTATTTGCGTCGCCTACAGCAGTTGGCTAATGGTGGTCGCGTACCTATCTATTAGCAGTTAAATAAACGAAGTCCTCGAATGACCAGCTGGTAGCGAAGGAAAGAGAGGAAGTTAACCAAAAGATGTTGGGGAGTCTGGGTGGAAACAACGGGACGCATCACGTTGCGGATTATAAAAAATGCCTGAAAAGATGAAGTTAAGGTGTGTTTCATTCATGAGTTGGCAGTTCGAGAGCCCAAGTGTCACTAGTTCGTCCCGATTCTCCCAACATTTATGTACAACACAATGGTTGTCTGTTGCTTCAACCAAGGAAGTGACTTTGCAAGCACGGAGACGTGAATTATGACACTTCAATCCACTTCGCTTCGGTATGCGTATTGGAGAAGAAAAAGATGGAATATGCAAAGTCTAACCAGGTAACGACTGCTTCAGAGCGATTGGCTGTCCAGGTAGGTCACTGCAGTAGAATGTCATGAAAAACGTAGCAAACGACAAGCCAAATTTGTCACCCGTGTGCGGCCTATTAGTCAGCAGCAGTGTGAGAAAGTGCAACATGGAGAATGAACGCAAAATATCCGCACTTATTGCTATCGTCACAAAAAGGAGAATAAAACAGCTGACCTGAACATAAAGCTTGTAGCTCACCAGAAACACATTAGAGTGCAGAAGATGAAAAAGGTGGGTAAGCAAACTCATAATAAAATACGAGTCCAGTCTATTCGGACATCAATACTGAGATAATGATCTCGGCATAAGTGTTATCGTACCGTTTGAAAAAAATAAGTGGGAAAAACCATCTCAAAAAACAAAGAGACCCACCTGCTGATTAAAGATAAACTGGTTGTGTCAATTACCAGAACTTCGTTCCAACAAGAAGTCCATAAACACCCACTGGGAGGGACGATGATGGTTTCCCGAACGCGAGAACGCGTGTGCCCATAGGTGATGAAGCATGCTTCGGAAAAGTCCCATGTGGCAACTGGAGGATCTCCACTATTAGCTGATGTGGTTGAGGCGACCGTGCGAGCGGGATCGTTGCCAGCAGTACAGGGATTATCCACGCACGGTACGTCAGGGATGTTGGATGATGTAACAACCACAGTACCGCTGGAGTGAAGCGAGGAAGCTAGTGATGTAGACTGCGGAACGAAAGAATTGGGCCGGACGGTTCGACGGAAGACAACAATCTGACCGTTAGCAAGACACACAAATACCCGACCCCTGAAATACCTGGTCGTAGAAGACGTGGAGAGTGGAATAATGGTTAGAACAGGCATGGGTAGCAAGTAAGTGTTTAGTGCAGTTGGGGCCATCATACTAGGCGGTCAACCTGGCATGACAAAGGCATGGTCAGAAGAATATGAAAGTTGAGATGGATCTTTTCCCAGCAACGGCAAGAAAAATGATAGGTTGTTGGGCACTTACCCTACAGATGATGGCTGCAGGTTAGCAGACAACAGCTGTGGTAAGCGAGTTGGATATGGATCACAGGAATGGGAAGTCAGAAATGTCAGCTGATCAAAGTTTTATAAGTCAAGTAGAACGCGACAACTACGCTGAGCAGCTGAGACGGAAACAAAAGGCGAGAAAAATACGGTATCGTAGTGAGAACGCCTGGAACGCACACGCGTGTGTGAGCATGTTGCACGGATTTGCCAAGCAACAAAATTACACTGTACTGGTGTAGATGAAAAAGCAAAGGGAGAAAAAGAAATTTCTTACTCGGATGCAACAGCCCGCAGGTAGTGAAACGATAGGGGGGCAAAAATCGTTTCACCCGTATTTGGGCCCATCGATGTGGACGTAGGATAGAACAGTCATAAGAAATGTTTAGTAGGCCTAATGTCATCACGGTCTCGTGACTCGTCTAAAAGCGTCAATAGTGTTGACGTACAACTTTTGGCAAGACAAGTAGTTATCAGTAGTACGCCGGCACACTGTAACGACGATTCGCTGCCACACGAACAACACCGGTCGCGAGTGGGCTGAGTATATCACGAGGAGGCCCGCCCCTATGCGGATTCGAACCGGTGGCCTAAAGATTGCAAGCCAGGCGGGCAATTCTCTCGGCCACCGGCAGAGTTCAACGTTTAGAGAGTACAAGGACTTGATAATCCCCTTCATCCGTCGCTGCCTGGGCTGCTTTATCAAAGCATGTATGTAGCAATAGCTGGTCCCTTTGACCTATCATCCGCGTCGTGCGAATAATGTAGAGACCTCATTAGCTCTGTAACGCTCACAAACAACACACTGTGGAGACGCACTGCCGAGAAAGTCGAATGAGGTCCAGCAGCACCAAGCCTCGGTAGATGGTGAACTGATCATGCACCCAGTCGAATGACAGGGGAAGAGAAAGACACGCTGACGTGCTGTACTTGTCGTGGCGAAATCAAGCAGAAGTTTTGCGGGATACTATACAACCCAGGAAAGTGTGATGTGGTGACTAGAGACATTTCTCGGATGTCTTCCCGAAGGGGGTATCGCCACAAACAGGCACGATCAACAGAGTCATAGGTAGCGTCCAACTTAAGGAAGACTATCATAGCAAGCTGCTATAAGCATGATGATTAAGTAACTAACCAGGGGCAAAAAGGTAGCTAACGCACCGTCTAGTGGGGCGGAATCCAAGCTGACTTCCACTGATTCATCTCTCGCAAAGAACAATGGGCCAATGCAGTATGGATGCAGCATCTTGGATGCAATAAAGATAAAACTGATACTGCGATAAGTTCCGCAAGAAGTTCTCTAGCAATACTTAAAGGTGGGAATGAGAGGTGACAACCACCAGCCAAAGGCAAGTCGTCTTCGCCATCTCCCGCATACTGTCCCATCACCCGGGGCGAAGTAGAAAAGCTTGAGCGGGTGCAGCATGTAGCCACTAGGCTGATTCCCAACTTACGAGGTATGCCATACGAAGACCGATGTAAGAAACTAGGGTTATACACCCTATCTTATCGTCGGCTGAGGGTTGACCTCATCATGACGCACCGAATATTACATCTGGGTGATTACCCCATGTTGAGACAACTACTTCATCTGCGCACACAAAGCTGCACACGAGGACACCGGTATAAACTTATCGTCCCGGATTTGAAGCGGGTCGCCCATCAACTCTGTTTCGAACGAAGAGTGGTGAATGTCTGGAACGACCTGCCTCAGCATATAGTAGAAGCGAACACAGTGGCTAAATTCAAGATGCTACTAGACAAACAATTTGCAGAGGCAAAGTACAAAGAGCGAAACGATAAATAAAAAGTTCATGTCCGAAAACGACGAACGATGCAGCTACACAGAGCAAACTCTACTCGCTGCTTCCCACCAGTTCTCAGTTCTCAGTTCATCATCATCATCATCATCATCATCATCATCATCATCATCATCATCATCATCATCATCATCATCATCATCATCATCATCATCATCATCATCATCATCATCATCATCATCATCATCATCATCATCATCATCATCATCATCATCATCATCATCATCATCATCATCATCATCATCATCATCATCATCATCATCATCATCATCATCATCATCATCATCATCATCATCATCATCATCATCATCATCATCATCATCATCATCATCATCATCATCATCATCATCATCATCATCATCATCATCATCATCATCATCATCATCATCATCATCATCATCATCATCATCATCATCATCATCATCATCATCATCATCATCATCATCATCATCATCATCATCATCATCATCATCATCAATACAAGTTAGCTGAGGGTGAGAAGCACGCCTTAGCTAATGTGCCGTAATACCAAAAAGTAAGACATTAAGCAATGTAGACTTAAAAGCTAGAAAAAAGTAACATAATGCTAAGACCACATTTTTGGTGTTGGAAAGGGAAGCTAAAGACAAGAGGATAGACGAAGAAACTCACAACACAAAAGCCACAGGACGACACCTAGCCACGTCAGATAGTGTATCCAACCATACATGTTCGTTATCTTTCGGTCCCAAACCAGGCAGTCGGGAAACATCAACCGAATCCAAGTTTGAAGTGAGGGACTTCATTCCTCTCGACCGAGTCACCGCTTGGCCTCCCCTCCTCTTCGTCCATTCACATCCCCGGCGCGCAAACAACGCATGTAGCGGAAGTAGGTTGGCTGGCATGCGCAACACGTGGTCCGGTTATCGGAGCTTGATGCGGGACATAACGGTGCTGGGTGGTTCCCTCGCTCTTCCTGCACCAAATACGCCACGCTGCACACGCTCATTGCTCTAGCATGGCTCCCAGCAAATATGAGCTAACTTGCAAAGGCGGGAGGGTTGTGCGGACTGCTGCAGTGTAAACTCTGCCCTTCAGAGTGACAGTAATGTCATGCCGGTGCCACAGATTGTGGAGATTAGCAAAAGCGCATCGAAGTTTCGCTACACGGTTAGTGATCTAATTTTCAATCCTACGGACGCTGATATAGCTGCGCAGATACTTGAATTTCTCGAGGACTTCTAAATTGTCACTGCCAAGAGTCAGTGTAGGAGAGGGTTCCTGACAATCTTGGAGAAGAACTTCGCATTTCGAAGGTACAAGGCATAACCCGAAACGAGTGAAAGCCAGAGCTAATTTATCCAGTGCAGCTTGGCACGTTTGTGAGCCGTCACAGATAAGCGTAATGTCGTCGGCATATTCCAAGTCGAGGATTCGTTCACCAGGGAGCAGCTCCATATCTTCCAAGTCGTGCCCGACGAACGCCGTTTCCATGACTTCGTCAATGGTGAAGTTAAAGAGAAAAGGTGACAGTGGGCAAGCTTGTTTCACACCGCTGGAGATATTGAAGGGCGACGACAGCTTACCTTAAACCCTCATTCTGCCCGAGCTACGTGCGTATAGCCCTCGGATAATGTTTACATATTTCGCGGGCGTACCTTTCCTGAGTAGAGTCCCAAAGGGCATATGAATCAACCGAATCAAAGGCCCTTTGATGTCTAGGAACACGACTACAGTGGATCGCCAATAAACATGGCGGTGTTCCAACAACTGACGTAATGTGAAGATGTGGTCAATGCAACCACGATCTCGACGAAACACGGCTTGCTCTTCGTGCATCTAGATTTCACGAGTGCCAGTCAATGGAGGACGACAGACGCAAGTAACTTAGAGGCAATGGAGATCAGACTGATTCCTCTATGAATGCCCCATTCGGAACGGGAGCCTCCCTTGAAAAACAGAACTATTACGGAGCGCCTCCAGTCGATCAGGACAGTCATCTGCTCCCACAAATTCCCTAGCAAACTATGTGAATCGTCCAAAAGAGCAGGTAGCTCAAATTTGAAGAGGGCTGGTTGAAGTCTATCTGCTCCGGCAACCTTGTTCAATTTCAGCTGTCCGATTTCACGCTCGATTTTTGCGCGCGAGGGCGCAGCAAAGGGGACGGCCCAGGGAGTAGGGCGCCCCCATTGGCAAGCCAGATTGATTAAACTGTTTTGCAAAGTGTTCGACCAAACGCCCCAAGCGCTTCGACAAGCTGTGGATCGGCTGTCCACTCTCGTCGCATATTGTCTCGCTAACAAAAGGTTTCCCGTTGCCCGTTTATCGTATCAAACGGAATAACTTCCGATGGTTACTAAGGGCAGCGGTTGTTTCCATCTCCGAGGCACGATGAGACCATCACGCTTTGTTGCCTCTCTTCAGGCAAGCATGTAGTTTCGCCCTGAGAGCATTACGAGTCTCCATGTATTCGCTTCAAGCCGGAACACGTTGGCCAAAAGGGTGTCAAATAGTGGCGAGCAGAGAAACCAAGACAGCTCAGATGAGGCCCCACCGTCCTTCCGCAACGATGGTGGGAGGTCTCTTGGGTCTGTGTCGGACATTGTCGATGGTGAGACTTGTTACGTCAGTATCCCAGGAGATGGCTGCTCATGTGTTGTTTTTCATTTAAACAGCGATGAGAATTATGGAGACTGGATCCATCAAAATAGCGTTGGCCAAATGAGGGCGGCACAATCCATGGTGCAGTAAGCCAGATTAATAACTGAGAATAGCGGACCTTAGCTTCTGAGAGGTAAGACCCATCAACCGTAAGTGGCGGGTGTGAGCACAAATGAGGTACCTTTGTTATACTCTTCAAGGATGGCATGCAGAGCATTGAGGTGTAACAACAGATTGAACAGTTGGTGGGGGTGCGGAACGGCCAATAGAAATAGGAAGATGGAAAATGCAACTATCATCATGGATATTTGTGGATCGGTAGATTACGGACGGCTGTGATATGGAAATTAAAAATAAAGGAAAATCGAAGGCGAATTCAGACTACGGTGATCGGAAATGCAAACGGCTGGCAAATGTTAGAACAGTCGGGGGATCGATAATGTACAAATGCACATACGATGAGAAAGTCAGCAGAATGTAGCCAAAGTAGCGAAAGATTACTATGTAGCGGGTAACGACAGGGATAACGCCTGAGTAATAGACAGAAAAGCAACCAATCGACAGAACAAAGACAATGTATGGGACATACAGATGAGAATCAAAAACAGGCGAGCGGTGCATTAGTTCCTGTAACTAACACATATAAAACCCGTTACCTAATTTGCAAGATGGAGTCGGGAAGGCGGACAGCCTGTTGGCACTGACGCAAGTCGCCCATGGCAGGGTGTACAAAAAGGTCCCCACTTTGACAGCCGATCCAGACAGTCGGCTGAGAAGTGGAGAAAGCAGTATCATTCGGTGCACGATTCTCGACGGAGTCCGGTACATAGGAGGACGTTGAGGAAGAGGGTAACCCCGAGGATATGTGCTGGAAGGGTGGATTTTTTGCTGTTAACGAAAGGTATAAGACAGAGGCGAATAGACTGGCATGTATAGAAAAGGTGACAACAGACAATGCCTGAAAGGTTGCTGTGTACCGCTAACAAGAACAAATATATGCGAAAACGTGAAGGAAATCACATTTTCTGAATCATAAATTGGAAGTGGATAACAAGTAGAATATAGACATGCTAACTCTCCTACAAAGACCATATAAAGATGTCAGCAATCTGCGTGCCATGATCTGGACTGTCGATGAATTATGGTCCGGACAGTGGAGAATGATTGACGGGGTTACCGTGTGCCAGGTTGCAAAATAAAAATAACGATGGTAGCAAACATAATAGTCAATGGAGGAAAATAAATACAACGAAATCATCATCATTGCACTACATGTCAGCTAAAGGTAAGGAAGACCGCAGCTGTGATGCCGCAATATAAGCAGACAAGATATATGAAAAAAGTTAGATACAAGACATCACAGAATAAAAAAGTAACGATATTCTTAGTTTCATTTATGCATCGAGTGTGAGATCGCAGGTGGAGGGGGAAGCTAAATAGGAGGAAAGAGGGAAGAGAAATTCACAACACAATAGCCGTTCAGGTCGGCTTCTGGCCATTTCAACAAGTGTATCAAACCAAGCATGTTCATCGACCTTTGGACCACAGGGTAACATCAGGGAGGCACCAGTTGTTGCCAAGTTAGAGATGAGGATCTTCATTCCCCTTGACCAAGAAATCGACTGGTCTCTTATCTTCTCTTTCCTCCCAGACCGCGGTCGTGCAAATAATACACGTCGCAGGAGTGCAGACATGCGTAACACGTGGCCCGCCCATCGGGGCCTGGCGCGTGATATGACGGTGCTGAGCGGTTCACTCACTCCACCTGTACTGGAGACGAGACGCCGAATGTACTCACTGTTCACGTAGTGATCCCACCAGAAATCAGCTAGTCGGCGAAGGCAACGATGGTCTTTGTCTGTCGAAATGATGGGCTGGGTTTCGCAACCATAAAGGAGGGTTGAACGCATGGTTACGTTGTAAACTGTGCCTTTCAAGGCAGTACAAACGAAGATTGGTAAGAGCACCTCGAGCTTTTACTATACGGTTAGTGATCTAACCTATTCACAGGCGCTAACATAGCTCCCTAGATACTTGAATTTCTGGACGACTTCTAGCTGGACACTTTCAAGTTAGCGCATGGGACGGTACCTAACAATTTTGGAGGCAAGCTTTGCAGTTGGCTAGTGTAAAGCACAGACAGAAACGGTTGATATTCAAATATTTGGAATTCTGGAGCTGAATCGTTAGAGCGGTTGGATAATATGACAGTTAACATGATAGTGTAGTCAAACATGTTTAAGGCGACCACTCAAGCGACCGACAAAAAGTGGTCGCCATGGACAAGTTCAAGCATAGGGACATTGCACACGATAGAAAACACTGAAGATATCATTGGCTGGTCGCCATAGACAGGTGACCACCCTAGCAGATTGGACTGTACTTGCGTTTTAGTTTATGTATTTTGTAGTGTTTAGTATCTCGATTTAGCTTTTGTATTACGGCACAGCTACAGTGTGTCACCCACCTTCAACTAATGTGTAATGATGATGATAATGTTAAAGCGGCTCGGTTGGGACTTATATCGCAACAAGGTCTTCTGGATTTACTTCGTGTTAGTTGAGAAGGCGGTTTATGTCACCGAGAGCAGTTGTGTGTTTTGGTATACATCAAAAGCAGTGTGGATAGTAAAAGAAGTGTAAAATCCATGTGTTCTGTAAACCGTTGGTAAATATCAACCTGTCGCACATAAATGGAACAGAGAACATGACGCACCATCCCTTGTGTACAGAATGCCGTGTCTACAGAAGTTGAGTTATTGTGAAGCTGCTTGAAATATGTGCCACAATTCTGCAGCGGCTAGAATGGCTGTGGTATCAGCAAATTTCCCAGTAAAGATAAGCATACATACTCCAAAAGTATGTAGACATAATAGTGAAATCTGGTAGCAGATTCAAGCAAGCATGACGAACAGATACTCGTCAAAACATAAAAAGTTGGCCACAAACAGGGTACAATGGAGGAAGAGCAAGAAAAAAACATAGAGCATGTAGTGGATATAACAGACTAAACGTACCAACATCGGGCGAAGCACAGGTGCTGAACCTTTTCCGTTCGATGACATAAGTAGGGGTAGGCTCGATAACCGTTTCGTTAACAGGTGAAACGCATGGGAGATCACTGTGCGACGAAACGCCGAGGTCAGCGATATTGTGATGTAGATGCTGCCGATGGTTATTCGTGGCATGTGAAGAAGTGGGACAGGGCGTTTGTGAACCGTGAATATTGGAGACTGGATAGCATTCATGAGAATGGTGCACCCCAAGTAGCCGTCTGTTCGAAGACTGAAGCTCCTCAGACAAAGTAAGTGGTATACTCAGCCAATAGTTCGTTGTTTGCAGCAAATGTGCTTGAATCCTCGAATTCGTGGCTGAAATGTGCGGAGCACGGATGAGACTTAGAAGTTGGAACCTAAAGTCACGAACATGCTTGATCAAAAAAATAACCCTTAAAACATAGGTAAGGGTCTAGGAGGAGGTATAGGATTGAATGTAACCAATCTTTGGAACATCAACCAAGCGTCACAAGCTCGAATGATAATAAATTCCAACAGGCAAAACAAATGATTGGCGTGAAAAAGCAAACTGAACATTGATAAAATCAAGACCAATTCAGTGTTGGATTAAGAATTCTTTTCGAGTAAATTCTCATCGGACCCAAACGTTTACATGGCAGAAATTAGGTGTTGTTAGCGCCAAATCGGGCTGGGAAACTGATTTCTGAGTTGTTTGGGCTAGGCTATAGATAGTAAAGTGAAAAGAGAAAATATCACATAAAAGCCCGATACTACAACGTACTTAGTTCAAATGACAACCAAACTGACAGGTAACATTGTCCGTTGGCCAAGGTAATGGACCTAAGTATCGCTTTTGCACACATAATTTCGGCTTTAAATGGTGGAGGTATATAGTCTCGGTAATGGACAAGATCTGCTTGCGGAAGCATTGTGTGAAGCATTCAGGTAATAAGTATACGGCCTTGAAGTTATCCCCAGGGGCTGTGGCCAAAATCATAGTGTGACATAATAGAGCAGTTTGATGATCTCACCTCGCTTTTGCAGAACTAGACCGGGATGTGCTCGCGAAGCACGTGATATAGGCGACTCGTAGTGCGACCCACATATCGTCACACAGGAGCACGAGTACTGATAGACGAGCATTGCACGGGTCAACGAGGAAAGTCCAACTTTCAATGGTTTTTCAAGCAATGGCTAGTTGTAGTGAACAATTCCCAATCGGGCCACGAAATAAACCTTTTCGACAGCCCCTTTCAAGCGTCGGAATGGGGTATCGGCATCAGAACAGCCCATCAATGGCAAGTGCATGAACAACTCCTGTTTAGGAGCAATGCTTTTAGGTGGCTTGCATGTGTTCCCTCAGATGCTCCGAGATAAATTTGTCTGGATAGCCATTTCCTCTCAGTGGCGTCGCTGAGTGAAAGTCTTCGTTGACGGTATCCAGATGTTAACAGAGAAGGAGCGACAGATGCTAAAGCATACTGTTCCGGCTGTCTAAACCGATCCTTTGTGAATTTGAAGCATAAACCTCCTGAATTCCGCCCAGTAGGCAAAGATTAAGCGTTGCGGTTCAGGTGTGTGACTTGCAACCATTATGTTTAAGATTGGAGTGTCCGTTCCTGCAAGGACCTCCTAAAGTGTCGCGGTCAGCGTACATCAAAAGATTTGGAACACTGGTAGCCCGGGTTGGTTGCTCACCTGTTGATCGCTTCTCCTAACTTGAGAAAGTGATTGCATACGTTACACCACCATGCATGGTGGTGAAACGTACGCAATCACTTTATCAAGCTCAGAGAAGGGATTAACAGGTGAACTTCAAAAGGTAGTGGTGCACAGCTGATATCACTATCGTTGGTAAAAACAGACGCAAAGTAGAAATAAATCACAGCTATACTAGGCGGTGGGACTGATGAACAGCTAGTTACGATAAACTTTGACAAAAGAAGGATTCAAGCAACGAGGATGTCGGGGTTACTCTCTGAGAGTTGAGTTCCTAACATGACAAACTCGGCGATGTGACATCACAAATGACACTAGAAGACAGCAATGGAAGTAACTTTGCTCTTCAGTTCACAATCGTTTGAGGAAAGTAAACAGAGTACTAATAAGTATTCCAAGTGGTTCGGTCAAATTTCCATTGTGGACCACTCACCAGGGATTGCACTTATGCACAGTACGGTCGATGAGGTAATACCAAAACAGTCCAGCGTCGCGGATGGGGCGTCGGCATTGATTATCGTAATCAGACTTCGAACTGTTGTGGTTTCGGCCGAAGCGTTCTTTGTGTGAGTGCATTTTCCAAACGATGAGATGCGTTCGGCAGTGTTTGAACATAACCAAATTACACTAGAAGGCAGGCCATCGCAAGCGATCTAATAGCAGTAAATAAAAGAGAGCAGATGAATAAGAGACAGTAATGGCGCCCCGACCGAAAATGATGGCAAAAGAAGACGATCACTATTTTAAGTGAGCGTCCTGTGTTACTTCAGCATATACGTGTAACGTATAATGTAGCCCAAAATGGACCAGAAAGCGTTGGAACAGATAGTACCTACTGTGAGCGAACTGAACCGCACTGACAGAATTTCACTGGAGGCGATCAAAGAAAGCGACGTTGTTACGGTATTGTAAGACTCTGCGTGGTAAGCAAATGCTGCAGAACTAGGCGGCTAGTGTTGGCCCTATGGGGTGACTTGGAGCTAGAAATTGGTCAGTTGACATTTTTCACCATCAAGCGGGAGACATAATTCATGTGTATTGGGGGGGGGGTACGCAATGTAAATACCGCCCTTATGTGCACTAATTTATTAGAAATCGTGCGTCGTCATGGGCAACTGCTAGTGAGGCCCTGAGTGGAACATGACTAGCATCGTCTGGTAAATCCTTCATTATGATTTTGTTGCATTGAATCGATTGAGTGCAGTCGTTTGCTCGAAAGTCACTGGTCTGCATGAGGCAACCTAACAGTGCGATTGGCTGTAGTCAGATGAATTGATATACATGGTTGTTACCTTCGCAATCACGTTTGTAGTGTAAGTTGTTAAATATTTCAGCTCCTCTGATAACTGTAGCGAACAGTTGACACATGATATGTTGGTTTTCGAACAGAAGTATGTGTAGAAATTCCCCACTTCATACATCACCAAGAATCGAGATGTTAGTGTTGGCAAAATAGGATGAGTATTTCTTTTCAACCCGGTGAGCTGAGTCAGAAGAAACACGCCTTTTGTAGATCCACCGGGTCAGCTGCGAACATGCCAACACTTTCATCACCATCACGCATAGGTAGACTCTATGGCAACCTGGGTATTGAAATATGTGTATGATGATTCTTTTGGTGAGTGACCCGGTTTTCCCTAAATAAAGTCTTCCCCAGAGCTGATTTGCCGAACAACCTCCTCGTGGTGCCAGCTGGGTGCTTCGGGATTATCCCGTTCCAGCGAATGGTTCGGCGGCAGTGTTCCAGGACGTGGTGAGTTTTCGCCTGGCAAGCGTTCTCCCTATAAAAAGCCACATATGTCCGTTTAACAACACTGTGACGTAGCGGATGTGACTCGTCACTAAATAAAGTCGCTTCCCCTTGCCTCTCTGAGCGTCATTGTAATTCAATGGTGTGTTGGGCCCCTAGTCCTATGCGGTCCTAAAGGCGTATAAACCACTTGTTTGGTCACTGATTCCCAACGGGTTGCGATACTCTCATATCGCCCTGCTGCCTTGTAGGTTAGATCCTTGATCAAAGGCTCGGGGTGGGGCCCCCTAAGACAACCCTCTACTTCGGCCTGGGCAACCGGGTAGTATCACGCCCACTGACGAACCATGGATGGATTACACTACTGCTTTCTCTTTTGAAAGGTCTAATAGCTTTACTGTCTCTGCTGCTCAACATCCGCTCACAGATCGTCACACGTCCAGTTCTTCAACTGCACCTATGTCTTTCTCGGTCACCGTCAACAACCGCTCACTGGTCGCATCTGACAGAGTTCTGAGCCAAAGGTTTGGTGCTCGTTACCCGGTGGTCACAACATCTGCACACTCAACCGAAGCCCAAGCTTTCCTTCGTCGTGGTTCTCCATTCGGCCTTGCAGCGTTCAATATGCGCGCTCTGATGCAGATCGGACGACAAGCATGTCTGGCCTACACGCTCGAGACACTCTCGGTGGATATCTGTTGCCTTTCGAAATTAGGTTGCAAGACGCCAGTACCCGTCATGAGAATGACATCTCCGGCAAACCCTGACGCCAAATACCACTTGCGCCTCTCCAGAGACCCAGAGGCCGCCACTTCTGGCAAAGCTGGTGTTGGGGTTGCACTGAGTGACAGGGCTGAGGTCGCTTCGCTTGACTGGATCCCAGTCAACAGTCAGCTATGTGCAGTCAGAGTACGAGTACGTAAAGTAAGTAAGCGACAAGATGTTACGCGTGTCTTGTTTGTCATCTCCGCCTACGCGCCTACAGACTGCAGCCCGGACGCACTCAAGGATTGCTTTTACCAACAACTACATGAAGTTCTGCGTTCCGCTAAGTCTGACATTGTCATTCTTGCCGGAGATTTTTAACACACTAGTGGGCCGCCTGCCACCAAGCGAGCACCATCTTGGGGGTAGCTTTGGCCTTGGTAGCAGCCGATCAGACAATGGAGACAGGCTACTGACTCTTTGTTCTGATCATGGCTTGTTTCTTTCGAGTACACGTTTTCGTCATTCGAAAAGACAGACCGCTACCTGGCGTCCACATTCTCAAACACAAGAATGGTCCCAACTATGACGAGGGCCTCAATTCGCAATGGATGCGCATCAAAAACACTTTAATTTCTGCCAGCACTGTCAGTTGTGGATTTGCTTATCACCCACCGAAAAGCTGGATCATCAATGACTGCCTGTCGCTGATGGACAGACGCCGCTTGATCCCAGTCGACGCCTGCTATATTGAGCAACGCCGATCGCTGGGTCGAACGTTGCGTAGGAGCTTACAGAAGGACCCTGAGACCAGTTGGTGTGAACATGCTGGAGAGCTTGAACTTGCTAATCACTCTGGTAATACCAGAAAACTGTTCCACATCATCCGAGCCACCGAAGACTTTCGATCATGAGCAAGCGAAACGATCTGCGAAGATGATGGCTCCTTAATCACTAATCTTCAACGACGGTTAGAGCGATGGGCCGAACATCTTTGCTCGCAGTTTTCTCGGCCGCCAGCTCTATCTGTTTCCCCTGGGGCGCGCACTGGTGAGGAGTGGACTATCCCAACTGATCTTCCTTCTGACCAGGAAATCTGGCGGGAACTCTGCTGCCTAAAGCGTTATAAGTGTTGTGTTTCCGCTGACAGTACGGATAACCGATGCAGCCACTTTCCAAATCAGAAGACAAAGGCCTTTGGCGGAACTTGTATAGAGCACGCGGGAGACAGAATGTACAGCCAAAATATTGGGTCGAAATAAATAGTCCATTAGAGAAAACACCTAATTGAAAGTTTCGGACTATAGCAACTACTGGATGAGCAAAAACTCGTTTGTCGGCTGAGCAGGCAGTGTGCTTACTGGAGGACTTCAAGGTCCACCATAAGGTAAAACGATGCAATTGGCTCACTCCCATTGGTTAGCCAATGGGGAGAGGACAGTATGTATGCTTGATACGCAGAGGAGTACTAGATAATCATTTTTTCGCTTTGTACTGACTGTATCGCAGCCTGGTTCAATAAGTCGGGACAGGGTTCCTAAGCAACTCACTTGGAGTATTTCAGGTAGATGCCATTGACGCATAACATTGGATTACATTTTCCATAGATTTACGAGGAGTACTGATATGTACTTGACTTTGCTTCCTTCCAGACAAAATAGGTGTAGTATCTAATTCTACAAATACCAGGTTTTTGTGGTTCTAACAAATTGTTTTTTAAGTAGTAGCTGTGATAGCAGAGACAGAAACATATTTCACTCACCAGCCTAAACAAGAGTAATCACAAGAAAGAAAATTCATGGTTACCTATGACTGCAATGGAAGCTAAAACACACGAGAGATACCTTACAGGAAACACGGACTCGGTCAACAAAGACAACGGATTTGCTGAAAGCGAAAGTTTATAAGACATGGCTAGGAATCGCGACCATTGTCATTTGCTAAGAGACAATTAAAAAGCAAACCAGTGTGCACCAGTGAAGCCAAGTAGACCATCTCGATGAAAAATGGTCAAGGGCGACGAATTACGACAATCCCGTTTCCAACTGCAAAAAGGAATGCTGACGCAGTCAATTAAGTTCAAATATATATATATATATATATATATATGTATATATATATATGTATATATATATATATATATATATATATATATATATATATATATATATATATATATATATATATATATATATATAAACGTCGTTTGCATGATTGTGATTGAGAAGTATGCACAAAATGATTAAGTCATCTCACAGCTTACGTTTTGGTATTATAAAGGGCGTCAGCAGTTCGCCGGAATGTTACACCGAACTCTCGCGGCCAAATGACAACCAAAAGTAGCGAAAGGGCCAAGGATATTGCGAGCTCGCGAGTACCTATGCGGGCTCGAACAGGCTACCTGTGGGTTACAAGCAAGAAGTCTGAACCACTCTGCCATGGGCAGAGGCTGCTAAGACTATCCATAAACAGTATCTCAGCTTCGTGCTGCTGGAAGGTCTTGTCCAGCATGTAACTATGAACAAAAATATGCTGCACGGTCGATGAACCGTCATGCGTTCAAGCAAGTCAAATTGAATCAGGTTACTCAGAACCCATTCGCATAAGCTAGTTGGACCATTTTTCAGAAAACTATGACCCCTTATCAGTTGGCTATTTGAAGGCTTGTTGGTAGTACTGCACCTCAAGGCACACTGCATTCGACAAGAACCGGTTAAAAAAATCGATTTTTGAACACTCGATTGAGGCGGTTAGCGTCCATTTCAGCCTTAATTCAGCCATTTGCGTCAAGATGCCGCATGCCGTCGGTGGGGAGATGCTGTATAACTGCTGCCAACGGAGGCCATGCCACTTACGCGCCATGATGTCACGTAGTTCCAGACGGTTCACCAACGCCCCACGGACGATGTGTTGTATTAAACTTGAGAGCATCGGAAGGAGAACCAAGGAGCGGTAACATAGAGGTGCGGTGTAGCCACTGTTTGTAAGCTTGGGTGTTGGAACCCTTCTTCTACCAGCTGCTTATAAACAACACACGCACCACTAAGTCGTTCTAGGACACAGATTAGGCGTTGAAGATCGATCAGCGTCCGCAGGCAGTTATTAGAATCTGCTTAAGTCATCGGGATCTGGTCTTGCGAACCGGAAGTGTGTATTCAGAAAGGTGGCACCCAAAGGCGACTAAACAAGAGCGTGACA